AAAAAAAAAAAAAATCAATAAAATATATATTTTACAAAAAGTATGCCTTTCTCAGTCTGACTTCCACTTTATATTTTATAGAACCACCAGTAAATGTGGTTTCATCTCCGTTGGGTTTTTATCTGTTTTCCAACGTGAATTTAGAAGAACACGAGTCCTATGAGATGTTTCTCAGCAACAGAGGTTGAAATCCAATCAGGAAAATATTGCACACCATAACTCCCCTTCGAGAGGCACAGAGCATGCTTTCATTTCGGGGCTCCGAGAGATGCTCCAATTTAAGTTTTGCTTTGCCCACCCCTTCTCATTTTTACCAGACAGACATCGTTATTAATGTCGTGTTAACTCCTAACGTTCTTCAGAGTAAGCACTCCAGAGGGCATGCTTTGAAAAATGCGGACTTAAAGTAGAGCAGATCATGACCAGGGAATTTTAAGCAAATCTTGTATTGACTCTGCTGTTGGCATAAAACTGTAACTTCAAAAGATTTGGAGCAGATTAAGAATGTTCTGCTACCTTCTGCTCAGATGAAAGCAGATGCCTTTTATGTGCAAATGATGAGGACGAAGCAATTGCTCTAAGGTAGTGGTCCTCAACCTTTCTAATGCCACGACCATTTAATACAGTTCCTCATGTTGTGGTGACCCCCAACCATAAAATTATTATTATTATTTTAAATATATTTTATTGATTTTGTACAGAGAGGAAGGGAGAGAGATAGAGAGTTAGAAACATCGATGAGAGAGAGTCATTGATCAGATGCCTCTTGCACACCCCCTACTGGGGATATGCCCGCAACCAAGGTACATGCCCTTGACCTGAATCAAACCCGGGACCCTTCAGTCCCCAAGCCGACGCTCTATCCATTGAGCCAAACTGGTCTCGGCTATACAATTATTTTTGTTGCTACTTCATAACTGTAATTTTGCTACTGTTAATGAACCATAATGTAAATATCTGTGTCTTCTGATGGTCTTAGGCTCTACACAGCGGTCACGACCCACAGGTTGAGAACTGCTAGTAGCGTGGCCTAAGAGAATACACATAAGAAAAGCAGAAACAGGGGTAATGGCTAAACATATGCAACTGAGTACAGCGGGGAGACAGTGGTTGAATTTGTGATGGTGGCCTCGAGACTATTAAAAGAGGTGGCACGATCTCCTCCATCACTGCTTTCCTCTCTCAAAGCTCAGAGGAATACAGAGCCAAGGGATGCAGAGACAGAGCTGTTCGAGACAAGGGTCACAAAGGATGTCTTTTCCCTTCTTGTCCTGAGAGTGAAGCCCTTCATAATGGCTATGTTTTGAACACTATATGTGCCAGGTAGGGGATAAAGTGTTTAATATACAGCATCTCATTTAATACACGCAAAAGCCTGAGAATATTATTTATCACTTTTTAAAAAAATATATATTTTATTGATTTTGTACAGAGAGGAAGGGAGAGAGATAGAGAGTCAGAAACATCCATGAGAGTCATCGATCAGCTGCCTCTTGCATACCCCCTACTGGGGATTTGCTCACAACCAAGGCACATGCCCTTGACAGGAATCGAACCCGGGACCCTTCAGTCCCCAAGCCGACGCTCTATCCATTGAGCCAAACTGGTCCCGGCTATTTATCACCTTTTGCAAACGAGGAAGCTGAGATTTAGAAGCGGACCTAAGGCCATAAAAGTGGCAAACGGGCAGAGTCCTGTATCCCTTCACCAGGAAGCACACGGTTTCACGTCACCTTGGCGGTGTGCAGCCAGCCCACCCCACTTTGTCCCCCGGTGACATGGGAGTATGGCAGTGTGTCCAAGGCTCGAGTCCACAGCCTGATGTGCTGATCCGTGTTAACCGACGGCCATAACTTGAGACTCGGGCACCTGAGTCTGGGAGGAGACAGGAGATCAGCTAGGTGTCTCTAGAGTAGGGGTGTCGAACTCAATCAGAGAAGGGGCCAAAATCTAAAATCCAGCCTAAATCGCCGGCCGAATGGTTTACTGAACAGTCATAAACTGTCATTGTGATGGAAACGCAGCGGAGTGCAGTGATGACAGCGCGGAGCGGGCCACATTGCAAGGCCTGGCGGGACGGATTTGGCCCGCGGGCCTTGTGTTTGACACATGTGCTCTAGAGATTTGTGAGCAGTTTTCAAAGTATCCGAAGAGGTGCTAGTGGGGAGAAAAACGCATTTGTCTCTGCATTTGACTCAAGTTTTCAGGTCGTAGTCGCCTAAAATAAATTCCATTTTAACTGAGTGAAGGTCTCTAATTTTAATAAAAACATGAGTGGAAAAGCTTGCCTTTACTGGACTAACGGTTGGATAATGATGAACTATGATTAAGAATAAAGTAGAAACCTGAATACCTTTTGATGTTTTTTTTTAATGGACCTCAATTATCACGAGGACAAGTTAAAAAAAGTTCTGGGCCATCTCCAGCGTTGTCTTTAGTGAAGAAAGATGCTAAGGTTGAATTGGGGATGGGCCTACAGGTGGAAAAGAAAATTGAGGGGGAAAAACCTTGGGAAAGCAGTAATTCCCGGCTACTTATTTCTTTACCTTCAACTGCTGTGGTAGAGCCAGGGCTGAGTCATTCTAGAAAGGGCACACGCTCCATACCCATCTGTTTAATGTGCCTACCATCTCACTCCGCTGGGGAGTATTGTTAACTGTGCATATGTCTGCCACCCCCACTTTTTCATACTTCCACCTTCAACTTACGTAAGCAATGGTGAATGGGAGGGTCTGAAGTCAGACTGGTCCGAGTTCCATTTGGCTCTGGATAAACTGCTTCAATTCTATGAGGCTGTTTTGTCACCTGTAAAATGACATGCTCTGCAGCAGAAAAAAAGTGAAAAAGGCACGTCCAGGCACTAGTCTCAGTCCCTGGGCCTGTGAGCCGGCAGACTGACCAAGCTCCACCCGCCCTGGCCCCACTTCCCTGTTCTGGAGCCCATGCCAGGGCCACTGTCCTGAAACTGAAGCTGAGCGTCCTTTCTCTCCGAAACAGTGGCTCAGTCAGGCGTTCACAATCGGTGATCCTACCCGGCTGCTGCCCCAAATCCCGTCTGCCTCCACACAAACAAGCCTTCTTTGATGAGCCGACACTCTCTGCTACTCCATGTTCTAGCCGTTGAAATGAATGATTGTAACACCTTGTGCAAAAGTCCTCCCTCTAGTTAGCTGCGTCTATCAAATTTAAACTTTGGGAAGTCACAGAGAAATGGAAATAGCAACTACACGGGAACAATGCATCAGAGAGATACTGACGCTGGAGCTGACCAGAGCTGAAATTCCTGTTTTCAAAGACAACGAAGGTGAAATGATAAGCCCCAAGTCATAGAGCTGCATTTCACAGCCAAGTAGAAACTAGGAAAATAAATAAATAAATAAATAAATAAATAAATAACTCAATATTACTTTGAGGGTATTTATTACAAAAACAACATATGCATGTGACTTTTTAATAAATTCAAATGGACTAAAGGGTGTAAAATAAAAATAAATATATTCTACTCAAAAAAAGAAAAAAAGTGGAAACTAGGACTTTTGATTTCAAATCCAGTGCTCCTTCCACAACATTCGCTGAATGAATAGTGAGATACTTGAGGAACCTGTTGAAAACATCACCGGAAGTCCCAGGGTCAGTTTTTTCATTCCTCATTTTCATACATGATCTAACTGTAACCATCCAATTAATCTATATGTCTCTTTGATAGGGTTTGACTAGAAAAAAAAACACACATAAAATTTTTAGGAGTGTGTTTGATGATTTAACAAAATGTACAAATTTCAACAATGCAAAACCCAAATAATGCAACATGAGCCACACTTTTGTGGCCCAGATGTTCTGTCCTTATTTCTGTCCATGGTTAGCGAGAATGCACAGCTCAGGAGGGCAGGGGTTACATTGTTCTTTTCCATGGCTACCTCAGTGACAACCAGAGTGACTAGAATAGAGTTAGCACTCCGGACGTATTTGCTGAGAATACGACTGTGATGGAATATTGTTAAAATTTAGAAATGAATGTTATATGACACTAAAGATGGATATTCTCGGGATGATATGATTGTCAAGACTTTTTAAAAATTTCAAATGCCTTTATATCACATTGTTGACCTAAAAAATGTATTTACACCTGACTGCTATTATTTTTTACATTTCATCATAAATTCCATAAGGTTAAGAACTATTTCTGTGATATTTACCTCTGTATCCCCATGACTGAGCCCGAGGCTTGGCACAGACTAAGCACTCCACAAATAACGGCGGCAGTGTTTCTTTGTTACAATGCAGTGAGAGCATTTGCCAAGTCGCCATTTTGTGATTGTCAACAAGATTTGCAGCTCTTGCCTCAGACCACTGGCTGGTTTCAAGGCTCTGTAGCCGCTTTAACTCTTCGATGGCAAAGACGTATGACAAGCCGCTTAACTTGGGGCCAGATGAGCTCTTAACATTTATAAATACAATGATATTCAAAGTGCCAATGCACACACCAGACAGCTTGACTATGGGACTGAAGAAATGAGAGTTCCATGAACACTCAGAGAATCAATCAATCAATAAACCTCCCTCTCACTAAGAGAAAAAAAAACTAACTTTGTCAGCTCTCTCACCAATGCTACTTTCTCATCTAAAGGAAAAATGCTTTCCAAAGTATTTGTTCTTTTGAGAGCTTACAGATGGCAATGACTTAAGAGCCCTTTTTAATACCGGTAACACAGTGCATAATCCTAATCGAATTCCACATGACATCAGTTGACCAGACTTGAAAGCTTGAATGCTCATAGAAGTACATGCCAAGTGTCTGTCAATTACATTCTGAAACAGTAGGCAAAGATGTGGATGGGAAAGGTGCCTAGATACAGGAATGACATGGAGACAAGTACCGAGCTAGGAAGGAACAAGGATTGTGTGGTTGACATGAAATAGACCAAGATAAACAAAACAGTTTCTGAACAAGAGATAAGATGAGGTATATGCATTAGGTTCATGACTTCCTAACAAAGAACTGGACTTTGTAATGCTCTCTCGGTTATTAACTGTATTAGTTTTCTATTGCAGATGTGACCAATTACCACACATTTAGTGGCATAAAAGAACACATATTGTGTGCCAGTGCTGGAGAACTGGAGTCTAAAATGGGTCAGCAAGCCTAAACCGGTTTGGCTCAGTGGATAGAGCGTCCGTCTGCAGACTGAAAGGTCCCAGGTTCGATTCCAGTCAAAGGCATGTACCTTGGTTGCGGGCACATCCTCAGTAAGGGGTGTGCAGGAGGCAGCTGGTTGATGTTTCTCTCTAATTGACATTTCTAGCTTTCTATCATTTTCTCTTCCTCTCTGTGGGAAATCAATAAAATATAGTTAAAAATAATAAAATAATAAAATAAAATGGGTCAGCAAGACTGTGTTCCTTCTGGGGCTCTAGAGACTAATCCATGTCCTTGCCTTTCCAAGCTTCTAAAGACCATCTGCATTCCTTAGCCCCTTCCTCATCTTCAAAACCAGAAGCATAGCAACTTCAAGTCCTTAATTCTCCTCCCCCTCCCACCCGCTTTTTTCATTATCTGTCTTTAACTCTGATCCTAGATAATTCAGGAATATCTTCCCATTTCAAGATCTTCAACTTAACCACATCTGCACTGTCCTCTTTGCTATGTATGATATCACAATGGTATGAAATCCTTGCTAGATGCTGATGCTCAAGCTGTTGACATACTAATCGCCTACTTTAACAACTGTCAAAGAAACATGGTGGGGTAAGGTGGTGCTTTTTAAAAATAATTCATAGACTTCTGTAAAATGCAAGTTAAAAGTTATTTTAACATAAAAAACAAATCTGGTATAAAGAGGACAATGTTCAAGACACACAGAAATGTTAGTTATATGTAGGTATGGAACATTAGTGTTGGATGTCAGGGACATTTTCAGGCAGTAGTCCAGTACCCTGGAGAGCTCCCACAAAACAACGGTTTTCTGAAAATGAAAGTCTAGAATCTAGAGAGAGATGCCTTTTAGTCTCAAAACCTTAAAGACATCCTTGACTGTATAGTCTTTGGGGGTAGGGGGGCTTCTGTTATTTAATTATTGAATTTATTGGGGAAAGACATCTATATATATAAAAGCCTAAATGACCATTTGACTGGTAGCAATGATGCACACTGACCACCAGGGAGAAGACGCTCAACGCACAGGCATGAAAACATGGAACAGACTGATGAATCTGAGAGAGAAGAGGGGAGGGGGAAGGTGGAAAGAGATTAACCAAAGATCGCATATGCATACTAGAGGACTAGTGCACAAATTTGTGCACCGGTGGGATCCTTCTGCCTGCCCTGCACTCTCTCGCAATCCAGGACCTCTTGGGGGATGTCAGTCTGCTGGTTTCGGCCCAATAACTACAGGCCAGGCCCAAGTGCCCCGTAGGTGCACAAATCTGTGCACCAGGCCTCTAGGTGGTTACTAAAATTTTTTAAGTTTCAGGTGTACAATTCCATAATACATCATCTGTATATTATATTGTATGTTCACCACCCCACTTGACCATATACCTGAATTAAGCTCTTTATTCCTGGGAATCATCTTCAATACCCAATGAGCTTTCTGTTCCACATGACTGAATGACCATGATATCTGATCTGACTTGCATACTCCAGTTAAACTATAATCGTGAAGGAGGCCAGAAGGCTGAAATGATATAGAGGTGAGAGGAAGATACCCTTCTCGATACTCTTTTCCCTTAACAACCCTCTCTCTCCTGGATCAGAAGTTGGAGTTTGGACTAGGTTCAGGGGTTCAACCCCAAAACGCAAACTGTCAGAGCACTAACTATAACTCTGTAAATAAAAAAAAAGGTCAGATGTGGAAAGACTGGGAAGGACAATCAGTAGAACATGGTGAAGGATAGAAAGAGAAGAGTGTGAAGCACCAGATCCCTGATTGCTGCTAGGGTGCTCCTGCTGGTCCCAGCTGTCCTTCCTAGTCACAAATACACAAAGTTCCAAGAAAATCCCCCTAACCCTATGAGACACCACCATGCCACTCTCACAGAAATGACTGAAATGAGGATGTAAAGCAATTGGATCTCACACATTATTGGTGAGAATATAAAATGGTATAACCATTGCGGGGAAAGATCTGACAGAATCTTATGAAGTAAAACTTACATTTACTGTACAACCAGCAATCAAACTCCTAGGTAAAACATACTTCCAAAAGCAGACTTTTATAGGAATCTTTATGGCAGCTTTGTTCATAATTTCCAAAAAGGTAGAAACAATCCAAATGTCCCTCAACTAGAGAAGAGATAAACAATTTATGGAGTATTTGTATAATGGAATATAACTCAGCAATAAAAAATAACAAAAAGCTGATACACATAATAATGGTACATCTCAAAACATGAGTAAAATAATTTTGGTATATTTGTATCATGAAATATTAACTAGCAATTAAAAATAATAAATGATGATGCTCTAGCTGGTTTGGCTCAATGGAAAGAGCATCAGCCTGTGGACTGAAGGGTCCCAAGTTTGATTCCAGCCAAGAGCACATGCTTGGGTTGTGGGCTCAATCCCCAGTAGGGGGTGTGCAGAAGGCAGCCAATTAATGATTTTCTCTCCTCATTGATGTTTCTATCTATCCCTCTCCCTTTGTCTCTAAAATCAATAAAAAAAATATATTTTAAAAACATAATGATGAATACCAGTGACAATAAGGATTAATCTAAAATAAATAAATAAATAAATAAATAAGACTCCAGACACAAGAAAAGTAGATTTAAAAATGATTTACAGTATGATTCCATTTATAGAAAATTATAGAAAAGACACAAACTAATCTATGGCAATAGAAATTAGGAAAGTTGCTGCCTAGTGGGTGGGGAAGGGATAAGAAGGAAGGGGACATTAGACCATTTCTGGGGGTGACTGAAAAGTTCTACATCATTATTGGGGGGTTGCTTACTTAGGTATACACATTTTAAAGAATCCATCCAATTGTACACTTAAGATCCAGGAGAATTATTGTATATAAAATTTACCTCACTAAAAATAAATTCTTTGTTGTTGTTTATCCTCACCCGAGGATATTTTTTCCATTGATTTTTAGATAAAGTGGAAGGAAGGGAGGGAGGAGAGAGAGAAACATAGATGTGAGAGAGACACATTGATTAGATGCCTCCTGCACTAACTCGACTGTGACTGGGGATTGAACCTATTACCCAGGTACATGCTGTTCAGTGCCTGAGCCGAATGAGCACAGCACCCAGGGCTAAAATTAATTCTTAACAAAAAATCCCACTGGCCTTTGCCACATTTCAAGGACATGTGTACCTGTACTGAAGGATGCTTCACACCGGGAAAAAAAAAAATCTGTGATACTCAACAATCTTTCTGGTCTGGAAAGAATGTGGCACAGGGGCTGCCAGTTTGCTCAGGCAATTGATGCCAAGTTCAGAGCAGCTGGGCTTAGCAAAAGCTTTCATGCAGGCTTAGAACAATGCCCATAACGTATGACCATGAAATTGGAACACGCCCACTGGAGCCTGCGTGGCATTAGAAATCTCATTCGGAGTGGGCCGGAAGCTCTTTCTAAGCCACAGGAGCCTGATGCATTGCTCAGCTGTTCTTTCAGGCAGTTCTGATTTCAATGCCAACTGAGGGAGAGAAAAAACCCCCAGGTTTTCAGTGCTGTGAAAATTCAGTCTGGTATAAAGGGCCCAAAAAGAGGAGTCAACGAACAAGAGCATAAGAGAATGAGGCCACACGCTTGCGGATCCCCTCTTCCTTTTTCACCATCAGCAACTTGGTCCCATTTCTACTGGAGCTTTGGAACCAGAGGGCGGGCCCTCCTGCGAGTGTACACAGACCTCGTCTTGTAACGGAAACCCAATGCAGCGCCCTTCATCACGTTCTGTACATGACAGCACACACTGTGAACTGTGGCCCACTCCTTTCTACTTCCCCGCCATGCGTCAACCCGGAGCCTCTTCCTTTCCTTTCCAAGGAGACTGAGATCTACATTGAAGAAGTTGAAGTCCCTCCACAGGGTGCCTCTGGGGCCTTCGCAGTAACTGTGCATCCCTTCTGAGTGATGTCCACAGTCCGTGTGACTGCTGAGAATGGTCCTCATCCTCGCAGTAGATGTGGCAAACAGCTGTGTTTCACTTTGAATGGAACCCTGGCACATTCCCTGTGGGGATGTAAAATGATTCAGCTACTTTGTAAAAAACAGTTTGGTGTTTCCTTAAGAAGTTAAACATGGAATTGCCATATGACCCAGAAATTTCACTCCTAGGTATGTACCCTAAGGTATTCAAACATGTATACAAATGTTCGTGAAAGCATTGCTCACAATTTCCAATAAGTGGGAAGAATTCATACGTCCACCAGTGGATGAACAGATAAACAAAACGTTATCAAAGAAATAAAGCACTGATCATGTTTCCACATGGATGCAGCTTGAAAACATTATGCTGAGTGAAAGAAGCCAACTCAAAAAATACACATTGTGGGATTCCATTGATATGAAATGTCCATAATAGGCAAATTCATTGAGACAGAAAGATTAGTGGTTGACAGGGCCTGGGGGTAGAAGAAAATGGAGAGTGGCTGCTTAATGAATAGAGGGTGTCCTTTTAGAATGATGGAAATATTCTGGAACTACATAACGGTGGTAGTTGAACACCATCCTATATAATAAAAGGCTAATATGCAAACCGACCAAATGGCGAAACGACTGGTCACTATGATGTGCATTGACCACCGGGGGGCAGACACTCAATGCAGGTCAGTGGGCTTAGCCAGAAGCCAGGCTCACTGCTGGCAAGCGCAATGGCAGTGGCAGGAGCCTCTCCCACCTTTGTGGCAGCGCTAAGGATGTCGGGCTGACGGCTCCCAGACTGTGAGAGGGCCCAGGTCGGACTGAGGAATCCCTTTCCCCCGAGTGCACAAATTTTGTGCACCAGACCTCTAGTTGTGAATAAAAGCCATTTGGCACTTTAACATGGTTTAAGTCAAATGGCTTTTATTCACAACTAAATGTGGGAAATGTTCGGCCCAGGGCCAGGGCATTAAGGGTGAGTTAATTAAATGTTTGACCAGGGATAGCAGGCTAATTTTTAAGTGGAGAATTTCATATGTCTGGCAGAAAAAAGGTTCCTCACCCCTGGTTTAAGTGGTGAATTTTATGATACGTGATTTTTTTTTTTTAATCAACAATTTAAAGAAAAAAAGAAAAGAAACCTTCCTAAGGCTATACCATAGCAAATAATTTGGCAAATGAATTAGCATAGCATTGGAAGTTTCCATCCTGCAACTGTTTAAGAAAGTAACCATCACATCATGCACTAGGTTCCAACCACAGCAGGCAAGCAGTGATATCCTGATGGAGAGACAGGATTCCACTTAACTAGTTGCAAGAGCTGGCACTGACTGACACAGCTGTCCACATGGAAATACACAAATACGTTCCTTGAAAAACAAGCAAGGAGACTTTCATCTTGGAGTGAATGAAAGCACACCTGGCTATGGATGTCCCAGTTAGAACAGATCTTGAAAACAGTCTCATTTTGGAGACTCCCTGCTGAAGGAAACAGGAGAACCTGGCCCAAGAGAACCAAAATCCTAACTCTCCTCCACGTGGTCTATCATAGTTGGGACTACTCCATCA